AATGGTAGTTGATTTATTGTGTTTTACCAAATCCAAACCTGATGTCTTTGCTTTTCCTGAAGCAAAACAAACAAACCAAAAAAATGGAATCTAATCCATGTATATCAGTGCTATGACAACTGAGTCATATACTTTTGATTTATTGCTGTTTTCTGCTCCATTTCTCTATTGATTATAATTTTACTTATTTTACATGTGGTAATATTTGGAAAGTAAGTATTCTTACTGTCTAAATCTTACTAGCAGTTAGCTGAAAGATGATTAAATTCTTTATTTAACATTCTATTAAAAGATAATACCAAAACAGCTTCAGGATTTTTATGGTCCAGGAAAAATTTTCCACAAGTTCTTTGTTGTATTCTAAATTCAAGAATTTAGCGTTTACCTTTTTTTTTTTTTTTAAAGATTTATTTATTTGTGCATACAGAACTGGGGTACAGGCCAGAGGCTCAGGGGTGATGAGAGCCTTCACCAGAGACAGAGTGGGGAGCAGAACAGGCAGATCTACGAAGTACACTGCTGAGGGGAGCAGCGGGCGGGTCAGGAGAGGGCTGCCTCGCCATGTGGTCACCTCCAGGGCAGGCGGGAATCGAACTCATGCGGAATAGTTTTAGCTTCTTAGTGCTGTGCTTTAACCCGCTGCGCCACTGGGAGGGCCTGATCTGTCAGCTTTTTAATGATTATTATTTTTTTTTTAGTGTAGTTCTATATTTGTCCTCTGAAATACCATTTTTTTGCCCTACAGAATAAAATGTACGAATGCTACCCAATACGTGAAACTATCACTATTTGGGGATGGTTTTATTTTGAAAACAAACAAACAAACAAACAAACAAATAAATAAATACTAACCTTTTAAGAAGATTAAATACTTTCTGCTGTGATGTTGGTGAAGTTACACTATAAAATTCCATTGAAATAAAGAAGCTTATCGACACATTCTTAAAACATTGTAGAGTTCATTTAAATCGCTACAGGAAAACTCAGCAGTCTGAGATAGGATTTATGCTGCTTTGAGGATCTATAACTGTGGTAGGAGATTACTCTTAGATACTCTTCTGCATTTTGTTGCATAATTCACATCATTCCCCTTGAGTTCTAGGGATCTTTTCCACATACTTTATCCTTCTATGAATTTCATTTAAAGGGTTAGTGACATCTGCTGAGCATCAAGCATGTTGTTGGAAAGTTCTATGTTCAAACTGAGAAGAATGACATAGGCTGGCTCACAAATCTTGGCAGAGGTGCACAGAACTGCTTCACCTGCACTCAGGCAAGGGTGATGGGACTTGGCTGTATGTTCATTAGCAGTATTAAAGCCACAATGTTTATTTCCCTAATTAGTATTAATAAGTAACAAAATTGCAGCTTCAGAGTTTGTATTATATTGACAGTGCAAACTAAATATAGTTTTTATATTTTGTAAAATATATCCATCTGATTAATAGATTCACTACCACTCATGCCAGACACTGGCTTCTTTTCATCTGTTTTGTTCTAATTCTGATTCCTAAATATAATATTTTCATAAGAAAAAAAAAATTGGAGCTAGAAAGTGTGTTACAGTAATTTTAAATAAATGAGTCCTGAAGTAACTAAAGACTGTGGTTTGTAATCTCATTGCATTTGTTATTACACAAGCTTTCTTACAAGAGAGCCGCCATGGATGCTAGGACAAATCAATGTAAGTGGATCGATTTTTCTTAGGTCTTTTAAATGTTTAAGCCAGCACCTGGCCTTTGCAGTGTCTCTTGGTTGTAGGTAATAGCTGGGAATTTCAGGTGAAGGATTACAACTTCTGAGCCAGTTATGCTACCCCAAATGATCCATTGGATGTGACTGCAAATGCCAGTTTTAAATGTATTCATGGGATTAGGAATGAATACTTCTTTGCCTGAAATCTTGTGGTTTAGCTTTAGTACTTACTGTAGTCAGTCCATTTCTTTGAAATATTGAGCTGTCTGACAGCTTAAAATCCTAAGTTTCCTTTAAACTTGAGCCTGGCTTTGGAGGAGAAAAGGGGTAGTGTGGGGGTGGATTTTATGTAAGACTCTCTGAAGAGAATTCACTGAAATGCTTTTGCTGGCAGGGTGTGGGGAATAGCTGGCAAGCTACTTCCTCTCAGCCTTTCTTGGGTACTACCCTTAGCCTAGATCAACATTTAGTCCTATAATTAATGTCAGGGTCACTGAAGTCTCTTATTGAAGTCATTTTTTTTTCATGAAGTAACATGGAAAAGACCTAAATGAACACCCAAATTTTGTTAAGCCATGTGGCTATTAGTTAGAAAATACCATGATAACCTTATACCATGAATACCAGCTGGATGTTTATTTCTCATTTGAATTGGATGACTGAATTTTTATAACCATCTCTTGATCAAACATCACCTAATGAGATTTCTTTCATTGTGAATGAAGCTAACCACCAAATTATATTAAAAGTGTACTCTATAGAGGATGCTGCTGTACTGTAGAATAATTATTTCCATGTTAAATATAAACACCTAATTACACCCAGAGTTGAAGAGAGCAGTTAGCAGTTGAGACATGGGTTTGGTCCTAGATCTTTTGCCTCATTCTGAGTTCATAATTTGCTCTATTTGTTTCTATGTGCCTATGTGTTAGGTTGCTTTACTTGATTCAGGAATACTGTGGGAATAAAGTTCTGACATTGTTTATCAAGTAGAAGGCCAATTCCACATATAGATTTTATTACTTGTATAAATATTTTATATAAACATTTTAATAACAACTCTTTTTAAGTTTCAAAGTATATTATAATCATCAAAGCATTTGAGGAGGAGTGATAGGCTATCTAAATTCCAATGGAATATGTATAAGAAGAAAACATGAAAAGCTCCCCAGTGACCTTGGTGGAGGTGATAATAGTTGAACTTAAAAATACGACCTGAGAAGCACAGAGAAAGTGAAGGTGAGCATTCTAGACAGAGGAAATGTAGTATACAGGGCAGGAATGGACATGAGAAGTTCAGGAAATTAAGAGAAAGTAATATTCATTGTAGATTAAATCCCTCTTTATTATAAGTATAAAAATGAAAACTTGAAGAGAATGACAATATTCTGAACTTTTAGTCCATAGTAATAAGAAAAGGCTCATGTAGCTTGCATCTGAATTAATTCAGAATTAGCAGGTGTAGCAGTAATTTAAGGGGAAACTAAGTACTTAAGGGCTCCAGAGGATACAAAGTAAAATTAGCATCATTTTTCTGGCTTCCATTAGAGGAGACTTCTTGGAAAAAGGAATTTTAGAAAAAAGCGATAAAAGAGGATATGTAAAAAGGGTCAAAAGCATAAAGAATGCTCTTCATAGTGGGCATTTGGGTGTAACTAATTGGATGGTATGATCTAAAAGGGGTTCTGAACTGTAGTCTTTCAAGAGACATATGAAGGATACAAGGCATGTTAATTCACATTTATTCAACGTCTTCTTTACGCCTTAGCCCCAGAGCCATGTGAAAACCTACAGGCAAAGGTTTTGCTACCTATTACTGTTCTGCTCTCTGAAGTTTCCTCCTGCCCAGAAATATGGAGTTTCTACTTTGTTTGAAAATTGTGTGTTCTGATCCGTTGGCCTCTCTCTAATATTTCATATTTCCTCCCTAAAGGAACAGACTGTTTCAGATAAGGCACCTCTGATCATTCCCTGGCATGTTGTTTAACTGCAGTTTTTTTCATTTAGCATGTTTCCTTGTGCTGTTACACTGTGCTTTGCTTGTATTGTTTTCTTTTTGCTTGATTGAGAGCATTGTAATGGGGCCATGTTGTGTAATCTGCATCAGATTGTTTGGGGTCTCTGCAGAAGTGATGATGTCACAGACTAATGGTCCATATGGTTTAGCCTATCATAGAGTATTGGTTGAAATTCTTTGTGAAAATTCATTTTTAATGGAAAATCAGAGCTAGATAAATGTGTAGAGGATGCCGAACATTAGAATATGAGCTGGTTAAATGTGAAGAAAATGTTAAAATGTAACCTTATAGAATCAGAGATATTTTTTGGGGGGTTTGATTTAGCACCATACTCTCCAGCTATTCTTTTTTTTTTTTTTTTAAGATTTATTTATTTGTGCATACAGAACTGAGGTACAGGCCAGAGGCTCAGGGGCGGTGAGAGGCTTCACCAGAGACAGAGTGGGGAACAGAACAGGCAGATCGACGAAGTACACTGCTGAGGGGAGCAGCGGGCGGGTCAGGAGAGGTTTTGCCACACCATGTGGTCACCTCCGGGGCAGGCGGGAATTGAACTCATGCAGAAGCGGCTTTAGATTCTCGGTGCTGTGCTTTAACCCACTGCGCCACCAGGGAGGGCCATATTCTTAATGGCTTATAATGTTATATTTAAGACATATTTGTTGAGTGAATGTTGGTTTAATTTTCTTAGGGCATAGGTCTTAATTTAGCATTATTATCATCTGGTAGCAAATATCCAGCATGTTGTACATTTAGTAGTTAAAGTATAATATCACGATAGCTAATCATTTTATCCTAGGAGAAGGAAACACTTTAAAATTTTATTGTTTTACTGTGGTTAAACTGGGTAATAATACTGTGTATGATTTAGAGGTTTAGGTTTTGTGTTCTGTGTTGCTTTTATACTTTTTCAGAAGAGGATACATAAAATAAGATGGAAAATCCTATTTTGTGTAATAGACTTTAGCTTATTTAAAGTGATGAAAATTTTATATTAACAAAAAAAATGAGGAAAGATTACTTTCCACAATCATGAACCTTTGTTAGATTTTCAAATGTTAATTATTCTGTTGTCAACATTGACATTTTAAGATAAATGTTTGCTTATACTACCCTCCATGTTTCTTTCAATGGTAGTTCTGGCATGAATCAGATAATGCATATTAAAGACCTGGATGTTAATTTTTCATTTTTTTTAACTTTTGACAAAGCTTCAAAAACGGGCTGAAGCAATAGTTGTGTGAAGATGCCACTGACTCTTCTTATCATCTTTTCATTTGCCTTTAGCTCAAGCCAGGACAGAACAGCTGCAGGGACAGTGACAGTGAAAGTGCCAGTGAAGAGTCCAAGGCCTTCCACAGGAGCAGCTCCCGGGAAAGACTCAGCGATGTAAGTATAAAAAAAGGAAGAAGGAAATGAAAATCACCAGCCCACACACCCCTTGGCTTAAGTCTTAGGTCCCCTCACTATAGTTTACTTTGTATTCCCAGTCATTGCAACTCACACATTTTGATGTTCACATATTTGAGTCTTGCATTATACATCATTCTGTTTTCTAGTTTGACCTAAAAAGAAAGAGCAGACTATAAAAATACTTTCAATATAAATATTACAGATGAAAGAAGTGTCATGCAATGCTCAAATGTGAGGTGACATATCTTTGAACTGGTTTTTTGTAATTTCTTCATCTATGAAACTGGCAACACTCCCTTTTGTTATTTTTTCTTTTCTGTTGAAAAGGATAATATCCCCACTATTTATTTGGCAAGGGAAGGATTTAATATCCTGACTGATTTCAGAAAAAAAGCCATGTGAGCAAATAGAGTACTTTTTGTGGGACCGTTCAGCCCTCCAGACCTGACATTAACTGCCCTCCACCCTCCTATCCAATCACCTAGTCCGATTCCCCTTGGCTACTCCTGAGAATCACCTGGCCCTCATGGTACCTTCATATAACAAGATTCTTGATCAACTTTGCACCTGAGAACAATATTTGGAAATGGGCTTGCAAAGTAGATGGTATACAGAGAAAATTTTATTACTGTTACCAATAAAGGAACTTTTGACAACTGGAAGTAGTACTTTTAGTAGTCACCAATTCTGAATCTGAGATTTTAGAAGCAGTAGCCTTACAGTGCATATAATGAGCAAAACCCTTTACTCAATTGTCTTCCTCTTTATTATACTATGTCAGTTTCTTCATTATGTTGTACAAGATGATCCAGTGTGTTATTAATACTCAATTCAGTAAGTATGGATTTATAAATATGTATCTGGTATATGGTAAAGTTTTCTTTTTACTGAAAAGTATCCATAAGCATAAAAAGTTGGAGACCAGTGCTACACACTATGACTTTTTCTGTAATAATTTCCTATTCATTTTACAATCTGCCAAGATAGAAAACTGTATGACACAGCTACTTTCCTGGGCCTCTCAGGAAATACTGTAGAGTTTTAATGATAGAACATTTGAATTTTTAAGTATTAGTGGAACTAAAGTACAGTTATTTCTATAGCATAGTATAGCATAGTATTTTTTTTTCCTTCTGCTAGGGTTAAATCAATTATATAAATAAAGGATACCATATCAGCCTTCTGCTGTGAGTATGTCTGTGTATGAGAATATACAGATAAATTGTATTAAAAACATTGTGCATTAAAGTTATCAAGAAAATAAAAATGAAACCTATAGAATTAAAGAAAATATTTGAAAATCTTTACTAATAACTTTTTAAAATCCACACTATGTAAAGAATCCTTCAACAACAAAAGATAAATAGCTCAATTAAAAAATGGGCAAAGTACTTGAATAGTTGTTTGTTCAGAGAATTTATATAAATGGCCAATAAAAATATGAAAGATGGTTATCATCACTAGTCATTAGGGAACTACAAATTAAAGCCATAATGTAATATGACTTTACATCTACTAGGATATTTAAAGTTGTTTTTTAAAAAAGGCATTAACAAGGGTTGGCAAGGATACTGAGAAATTGAAACCCTCTTACATGCTAGTAGGAATGTAAAGTGGGACAGCCACTGTGGAAAACAATTTGGCAGTTCCTCAGAATTGAATTATCATATGATCAACAATCCCAGTTTTAGGAGTATACCAGCAAATTGGAAACAGGTCTACTTAAATAGGTACTTTTACACTAATCTTCACTGAAGCATTATTTAAAATAACCAAAAGATGGAAACAATCTCCATGAGCAGATGAATAGATACAAAGTGGCAGTGGCCTGTGTGGACACTGAATGTTCTACAACCACAGAATAGAATTGCATTCTTATTCATGCTATGATGTGGCTAGATCTTGACATTATTATGCCAAGTGAAGGAAGTTAGACATAAAAAGACAAAAAAATGTGTATTTGCACGTACATGAGGTATCTCTAATAGCACATTCCTCCAAACAGAAGTGGGATACAAATTATAAGGGCCAGGTGATAGTGTGAGTTATTGACTATTGGTTTTGTTTTACTGTTTGGAGTAATGAAATGATTTAGTACATCACTGTAAATGTAATTAGTTTCATGGACTTGTACACTTAAAATAGCTGTATCAAACTTGATGTCTTCTCTCTATCTACTTTAAACCACAACAAAAACAGTGTGCTAAAGGACTGTAACAGTCCTGCCAGTCAAGCCAGTCTATGAAATATTTTGAGTTCATGTTGCTTTTTAGGCATTAAAATTAATACATTTCTCAAAAAAATATATTGCATGAAAGGAGAAATGTCTGAAAAGAGAAAAAGTATTTGCCATTTAGTGAGACATGTCGAGGTCTAAACCTATTCATTTCCTTTAAACGAGCAGTTCTGAGGCTGCATTTTTGGACTGAGTCTTACTGATGAGATGAAAGCCTCTGGCATGTCAAGTTACAAAATAATTCTTGCAGATGGTTGGGCTATACGAACTTTCAATATATTTTACAAAGTTAAGATGCTTTTTTTTTTTTTTTTCTTAAAAGGTAATTAGTTAGTAATGAGCTACTTAAATGACTGTTAGAGAATGAGGAGATGGAGGCAAAGGCCATTACTGGCCTTTCAAAGCTCTTGGTAATATGCTTGTGTTTGCATGTACTTTCTTGTATATAAGGAAAATAGTTATAGCTATTTTAATGTTTACTAATTGTGTCACTTCCAAGTCTATGCTATTGTTTTTTTCTCCTCATTATGGGATTGTAGTTTCTGTCTTCTTTGTATGTCTGATTCTCCAAGTCTTTTTGCTAGTGGAGAGTCTTAACATGCATGTTGATGGATGATGATTGATCAGGGTGCTGGCTGCTGAAGGTTGGGTTGGATGTGGCAGATTTTGAAAAATAAGGACAACAATGAACTTTGCCACACCCTTTAGCTCTTCCTCTCTGTAGCCCACAATGCTGTCAATAGTATTTTACCCACAGTAGAACTTTCTAAATTGGAGTCATTCTTCTCAAACCCAGCTAGTGCTTTATTAGTTAAGTCAGCATGACATTCTATATCTTCCTTGTCATCTCAACAGTGTTCCTAGAATCAACACCAGGAGTAGATTACATTTTAAGAAACCACTTTTTTTCTGCTTGTGCTAGCAAGCAAGTCCTTATTCATTCAAGTTTTATCATAACTACAGCAACTCAGTTGCATCTTTAGATTTTATTTCCTGTCTTACTTTTTCTACCACATCTGTAGGAATCCACATGGATTTCAACCCACATGGCAGGCTGTGAATTTTTATATTTTCACCTCCTTTCATGAATATTAGATGCTCAGAATGATATATAGAATGGTGAACCCTTTTAAGAAGGGCTTCCATTTATCCAGTCACATCCCATCAAAGAAATCACTATATGTGGCAGCTATAGTCTTCATGACATGTATTTCTTAAAATAACAGTGCTGGGACTCCTTAGTCCATGAGCTACAGGATGGATGGATGTTAGCAGGATGTATGTTGTGAAAACAACATTCATCTCTTTGCCCATCTTCATCAGAGTTCGTGGGTGATTAAGTACGTTGTCAGTACTTGATGTTTTCAAAAATTTCCCCCCCTAAGCAGTAGGTCTTAAGTGGGATTAAAATACTCACTTCACTATGTTGTTACTTAAATTTGTTGACTAAATATTAAGTTCATGGTCTTTTATAAGTGTGGCTTGTGTTGACCAAAAACAATTACAGTAACCCTAGCAAAACAAACTGATCACAGATCACCAGACTGATATACTAATGAAAACATTTGAAATAATGAAAGAATCATTAAAGTGTAACATTGAGACATGAAGTGAGCATATGCTGCTGGATGGTACCAGTAGACTTGCTAGGCTCAGTGTTGCCACAAACCTTCAATTTGTAAAATTGAAGCCTCTGTGAGGCTCACTAAAACAAAGTACAGTAAAGCAAGGTTTGTCTGTAGTTTGATTTTTTCTAAGACTTATTTTTACTTTCACTAAGTGCAGCCAGAACTACCTTTTGGCTAAAGCTAATTTTTCCCCTGTGTTGACCACTCTGCTTTGTTACTGATATATAACAAGGTTTTCTATCCTAGCTGATGGGAATACCAGAGATTCCCTGCCTTTTGTGAACTCTGGGAATTTTTCTAAGTACTCTTTTTTAATAGTGGATTTTTTCTTGGGATACTTTTTTAATAGTGTACTCTTTCTTAGGATACGTATTCTTTTTTTAATAGTGGATTCTTTCATGGGATACATCCAAAAGATGCGCTGATACAGATTCAGGTGAAGTCTCGAGATCAGTCTTATTGATTCTCTTTCTGTAAAGTTCTTGTTCCTCCCATTCTCTGTGCTACATATTCCAACTGCTTGGCTTTCCCTGATACTTTATAGCACAAGAATATTGCTATTCTCTACCTGGTCCATTCCCAAATCCAGGCTACCAGGGCATGCAAACTCTATCCGGGCAATAAATTGGGGCAGTCATAAAGCAGTCGTAGTTGTAATTCCCATCTGTTTCTTTCTGTTGAAGATCACTCCATTGCGTATTGCCCACTGTTTCCATACATTTGGTCTTAGTTATTTGCTTAAGGTGGGAAGGTAAATTTGGTCCCTTTTCCCTTTTACTCCATCATGCCTAGTAACTTTTTCAACTAATATAAAAAGTCTTATAAGTCTTCTATTCACATTAGCGACATATTTAGCAGCTTTGGCAATTGAGTCTTATTCTCAAATATAGCTAGCCAAGGTATATTCTGCCAGCATTTTTTTTTTTTAATCTGGACAGGCAAAAAGAATAAGAACAAATAATTCGTGTGCATCTCAAGGATTTGACTTGTGGGTTAAGCTAAACAATCTTATGTGCTTGTCTTTTATGAATTGTTTACCTAAACCATATTGCTGGGAGGGTTTCATTGTCTTCAAGGACTATAACTTGTTTAGATTAGCAACTAAGGACAAA